ATACGTTTGAGAAGGGGTACATGGCGGATGGAGTGAAGAGAATTCCTGTGAGAGTAGGACGAATCCGTGGAACTCTTTTTCTTCCTCTGGGTGATGCACCTTTTTCTGGTGAGTAGAGAAAGATTGACGTTTATCAAAAAACAACTGCTAGTCGCTAATAGTGTTTTTAGAGATTAGAATTTATAATAAAGTTCGGATATAACGCGCGCTGTCATTGGTTGAAAGAGGGTGCTCTATGAGAGTATAGAGCATAGGACTGAGCTACAGCTGTCACGCCATCTACCAATTGTACTATGTTCGAGCTTTTCCGGGACTTCTTTTTAGCTTTTTTTCCGATTTGAAAGTGAAATTTCGGAACTGAAGCGAGTCGGCAAGTAGCAATAGAAGAATCAAACAAAAGGTTTGTAAACATACCAGGCGCCATCCTCAAAGGAAAAACAAAACAAACATTCCGAGTTTTAAAGATTTTCACGCTCAGTTAAATTGCAAGCTTACGTACGGTAATAAAAATCAAACACAGCTAACACTCGTATAGTATATAAAGTTCAGTGTTCAAAAACAAAACAGAACAAAACAGAAATGATGAAAAATATAACCAAACTGACATAGTTGTTAAAATTCATACTAATCATGACGGTGTCTGAGCGAATATGATCATGCTAAGTTCATCGCGGCTCGCTCATCATGGCGATCTCCGGTCATCACAGTAAAGCAGGCCTCAGAAACTACATCGGCCGCCTTTCGAGTGAAAAAATAAGAGCTTGCTCTGATATCCTTTCCGATACGTTGAGTGGCAATTCACATTAGTCACTGCAGCCGAGTTTTACGGCGCTGTCATCACGTGCGATCTTCATGTTCCGGTGAATTCGGCTGTCGTTCATTCAAAAAACACTCGCCTTGAACAGTTTGTTTTCTACCTTGTCATGTGAAAAAAACTCGCGTGTTTTTATGAGCCATAATTCGGCTGAAGTTCACTGAACATTTTACTTCAAGATTCTGTATTGGAGACTTAAAAACTTCAGGCAAAAATGTTAAATTGTTGTTCGCTTTGGAAATAAAGTTTGTTTTGAAAATTGAAAGTAATGCTTGGGGAATTTAACGGATTCTTTATTATAAAACAAATAGAGAAGCTTTGACTGTGCTCTGTTCTGTTATAAAGCACGCAGGAAGCGGCTGGAGCACGAAAGAAGTGTAGGGATTAGGCTTCTCTATTGGTTAAATGAAAAGAATCACAATCCGCTATTGAGCTTTCCTGATTGACTTAATGCAAGAGTTTCCATTGATGTAAAAATAATAACGATAAACCTGTTCGAGTAAACGACATTCAACGAAGTGTTATAGCCGTGGCCAGCAGTATTTTACTTTAAGCTTAAGTAAAATTTGATGTTATGAAGTAACATTGGTAAAATTTTTTGTTATAAAGTATTTAGTTGGTACAGGTTATCACATGATTTCGAGTTTGATTTGGATCGAATAAGCACGAGTAAATTTTTTCAAAGACTAACAAAATTTGTGGTCTTTGAAAAGTTTGCACGAGGTTATTTATTCCAAATTGCACGATAAAAATCATCTGATTACGTAATAATAATATTCATGAAAAAATACGAGACAGCTCATCATTTATTAAATAGAAGAAGCCTTCCCACGCAAGAAGCGGCTCGTGCAATTTGTGGTCTCTGAGAAATTTTACTTTGAGTGGCTCGTGCAATTTGTGGTCTTTGAAAATATTTACAAGTGCTTATTTATTCCAAATTGCACAAGAAAAATCATATGATTACGTAATAATAATATACATGAAAAAATACGAGATAGCTCCTTTAACAAATAGAGAAGCCTTGACTGTGCACTGTTCTGTTGTAAAGCACGCAGGAAGCGGCTACAGTACGAAAGAAGTGTAGGGAGAAACACTCGACTACGTCTCGTGTTTCTACCCACTTCTTAAGTGCTCTAGCCGCTTCCTGCGTGCTTTACAACAGAACAGAGAAAAGTCAAGGCTTCTCTATTT